TCGCCCTGAAACAGGGTAAGATGTCGATGCGGGACTACGTTCAGAAGACGCGGCACCTCGCTTCGTGTATTATCACGAAACCGATTGACATGGCATCACAAGTCCATGTTTTCGTGTTCGGCATGCGCGAAGGTATGACGCGGTACAGTCTCACCCGGGCGGAACCTGATACGCTAGAGAAAGCGTTCGCCCTCGCGCTTCGCGATGATTATGTGGTGACGTCGTCGTACGCCCGGGTTCTGTCGACGAAGGAATTGGAGAATATTCCGGAGCCTATGGAGATTGACGCTATCGAGGCCTCAACCAATCGTAAGGCTCCTGACTCCTCCGCGAACCGTGGAGGTAGGACGTTGCGCCCATTGACTTGCTTCCGCTGCCGGAAGCTGGGTCATCGCGCGGCGGTCTGTCGCGCGCCAGCTCCTGCCGCCGCAAACGTCGTTGTCGACGAGGTCGACACCCCTATCCAGGCCGGTCAGTCAAAAAACGGCCTGGGCCAGTAGGTGCGGGGCGCCCTACTGGCTGGAACGGAGGTCCGGGCCCACCGGTGGCACCCGAACCTTCTAGCCCTCCCGTGCTACATGCACGCTGCAATGCCACCACTGCCAGAGGCGACACGAGGCTGATCATTGTTAGTCTCCATGTCGCCGGTGCCCGACGTCCACTACGCGCGCTCCTCGATTCCGGAGCGACGAACAACTTCTTTCGCGCGTCGTGCTTGTCGGTACTGCCAACGGAGATCCCCGCCCGTGAAGGACAGAGCGAGGTTGTGGTGAAACTCGCGGACAGGAAAGCTCACCGCGTCAAGCGGTGTGAGATATCACTCCCATACACGTTCGATGGCTTCACCAGCACGGATGATTTCCTGGTGATCGAGATGAATTACGCGTTCGACTGCATTCTTGGAATGCCGTGGCTGACACGGTACCAGCCTGAAATCGACTGGCTATCAAGATCCGTCAAGAGCCGACGCGACTTCGACGTTACTGAAGTGTTCACTCACCTCTTGGTCTCGCCAAGAGATTGGCCTCACGTCACCGTCGTTGATCAACTCTCAACGACTCAATCGGTGCACAGAGCGAGCGATGGCCCTCTCTGCACGACTTGTGCGGTGCTACTTGACGATATGGGGGTTTGGAACTCCTCGCCGCTGCGCGAGGAGACTGAGTTGGCGGTTGAGCGTGCGTTCCCGTCGGCAACAACTAAGGTGGTTGAGCATAGGTTCCCGCCGAAGAACCAGACGGTGGTCGAGCTTGGGTTCCCACCGAAGAACGAGACGGTGGTCGATCATGGGTTCCCACCGAAGAACGAGACGGTGGTCGAGCACGGGTTCCCACCGAAGAACAAGACGGTGGTCGAGCATGGGTTCCCACCTAAGAATACAACGGCGGTCGAGCGCGTGTTCCCGTCACTGCAAGAAACGACGGTCGAGCGTGGGTTCCCGTCACAAGTTGAGAATGCGGTCGAGCGTGTGGAGCTCCC